AATGCATTAATGTTTGTCTTACCAACAATGTTATATATTTGATTTTCACGTGAATAATTAAGTTTCGGAGAATTTCAGATTGAATTTCGGATTTGGGCAGTATCGGACTAAATCGGACATTTCGGAAATTTTTTCTAGATTTCGGATTCGGATTGGGCGTAATAATCCGAACCTTTAATCAATACGTTAAAAAATTTTGTATTATAAAGAAATTCGGTGGTTCAAGAAAAGAAATTATATATTATATTACAATTTTTAGTCAAACTTTTTGGAATAAGTATAATTAATTTGAAATATTATAATTTAATGTGCGTAAACATTTTTATTTAGCATAATTTCTGAATATTTTTGAAAAAGATCCATCATTTATCTGATCGTACAAATTCTTTAACCGAACTTTGTGCAACACTTTTCGCCGCAGTTTTTGCCGCATTTTTAACTATTACTTTAAACGCACCTTTACCCGTATCTTGTGCAGCACCTTTTACCAAACTTTTAACGACCATCTTTCCCGCAGTCACCCCAGCTCGAAGAGAACCAATACACGCAATATCTATAGCAGCCCCAATAGTTCCATTTATAAGTCGTTCTTTTGCTACATTTGACTTTCCCAGCTTATAGTAAACGCCGGAAGAAATTAGATGGTACGCCGATCCAGCTACTGGTACGAAATCAATGACTTTAGCTACTTTATCCTCAGTCATCTGGCTCGAGCTAAGGACCTGAAGTACCGTTTCCTTGTAATTTAAACTGTTGAGTACATCAGTTAAATGTTGTAGACTATTTTTTCGTTGAATGACAGCATAATCAAAATCTTCTTCTTCTTCTTCTTCGTCCCAAGGAAAATCGACCGGGATAATCGGATAATCTTCACCAAAGTTCTTCCTTAACGTTTCTGCGTTCTTTTCGTCCCATTTCTGATCACTATTAGTGATAATGATAATGAAATTTTTCTCACTTCCCTCAAAGATCTCTTTAAATAAATTGAACATTTTACGATCTTCTTCGGTAAATCTACCTTTCATTTTAACGTGAGCATTATAGTTGAGCGGAACCTGACAAGTAGTAAAATAATTTCTTATCTCTTTGACGGCTTTCTTATGAGGAACACTTCCAGAAACTGTTTCACCTATTCCAATCGTGTCGTACACCATAAAATCATCATTCTTACTAAAATTTATCGTGATAGTCGCACCAATAGCGCCATCATTAATTTCGAACACATTGCCTTTTTGATAAATATCACCAGGTTGGCAATAGAAGACTTTCCTTGCCCGGTTCGTCCAAAAAGAACCATACTAATTTCTTCACACATGTCTGATTAATAATTTATGTTGAATTTAGGTTGATTTATAATATTGATGAGAGCGATTTAAATCGTGCCAGAAAATGAATTATTTTAGAGTTACGTACGTTACGAAATGATGAACGGTATTCTAATTTTCTAAATGGTGGAAGAAAATGCAGAATACCCATTTATAATTACTCAAAAAAGAGTCAAAGAACAATATTAGAAAACAAGTATTTTAAATATTATATATTGTTACATTGTTGGACTGATATTCACACGAAAAACAAAAAAACACTAGCAGCATTATAAACCTTTCTTGACGTTTTAAGTAAGTTTATTTCAAATTCTTGAAATTTTACGGACAAAATATAAACTTAGAAATTAATTAACATTAATATATGAAAAAATTTTCCGTCTTTTTATAGATCCTTACTAATTTAGTAAAAAGATTGAGATTGGGAGATGAGATGAGATAGCATCTTTATTCATTTGAATTAAGGTTTAGAATTTTTTTATAAAATATTAACCAAAGATGAATAACAATAAAAAAATATTTGGTGTGGAGTTTTTAAATAAACGAACTAAAAATAAATAAAATTTGTCCTTTTTATCGAACGTTTCGTCATAGCGTTTATTACAATCGCTTCAGGCGATTGTTTTTGATTAAATAATAGGTTGGGCGTTTTTCTTGTGATTTATTTTCTTTTTTGGTCTATTTCGTTTTGGCTGCTACGCAATTAAATAATAATCTAGTTACGTATATAAACTAATTCGAATTTTGTTTAAGCGTAGTATTCATGATGGTTGAATTTCTGTATAAATTAAAAAAGCGATACTATTGTCCATTTTCTTATTTTTACTTAATGACGAAATTAAGCTCGAATAAAAAAGTTAGGACATATTTACTATCTAAAATATCTGATCAATTTGATGCCGTTTATTAGGTTAACTCCGTTGATCATGAACCATTTAATATCTAAAATCCGTTAGCTTAATATATATTTTCTCGTGTAAATGTCCATGCTTCATAAATAACATTAGATCAGATACTAAGACCATTTTTTACGGTATCTTTTACCCTATAAAAAAATCGTCCGAAAAGTGTACCAAAACATGGTGGATTTCGGACATCGCGTGATGTCTTGACATTGTCCGGAATTTATACCGAAACATGGTGGATTCCGGACATTATCTGGACACTACAGCAAATTCTGGACAAATTCCAGAATTTTTTTTTCATAGAGAATTATATCTAAATCATTTTTTTAAAAAATACAAAGAATAAGGATTCCTGATTATCTATCCCTCCAAAAAATCCATACGTGATTACGGCATTAAGAAATTAACTACGTGACAAATAATTAATCGAATGGCCACCCAGGGAAAGATCTTCCACAAAAAATTTCACCCGACTCGGTTGTTAATATTTTCAATGAATTCAATCCGAAGTATTCTCTTTGGCATTGACCGTGCTCCGTATGATCGAATCGTATCGGGTTTGAAACAACATTCATACAGATTCTACCTGACCCGATTAGAATTTAACTCGGATTCGATTCGAATTTTAATGTCGAATCGGGTTTGATGACCCGGGTCGATTCGATCGGCTCGGAAGCATAAGAAGACTCTGTAATCAAATTAAAATTATTTAAGAAATTATAATTATTATGGTAGTAACATTCCAGCTAAGATTTTACTACAGACATCGATTGCGTTCAATAATAAATCGATTGATAGATTTTTTTTTTTAAAAAAAAAATACTTGGAGGCAAATGAGAGTTATTTCATGAGGAATATAATCAAATTCCAGCTTCAAAAATTAATAGTTTCATCAGGACATCCGAAAAATTTTTTTACTAAATTCTCAGAACCTCATTTTCCTAGCAATCATCCCAAGTATTATAATATAAAATCCAAACCCTAAACATTTGCAAGCCATAAGAAAATTTACAAAAAAAAAAACGGCCAGTTTATCATAATTCTTTAATAATAATAATCAGTGGTTCAGTTAATCATAAATTTTATTTTTAAAATCTTGCAATTTTCAATGGATATAGTATTTGTCAAATTACCGTATTAGCTTCTCTTTTTTTTATATTTTCGACTGTATATAATTTTTTATTGTTACGGAACATTTAGCAATTATATGTAAAGGATAAGCAAATTTAAAAATCAATTAATTAAAATTTTTTTGTTTTCCTTGCATATCGTATACTTTCATTAGCCACACTTTTTGCAGCAAATGTTGCAGCAATTGTCGCCGCACCTTTAGCTGCACTTTTAGCCATCGCTTTAAACACAACTTTACCTGCAGCTTTACCCGCTACCTTTCCCGCAACTACACCAGCTCGAAGAGCACCAACACTCGCAATATCCATTGCAGCTCCAATAGTTCCATTTACAAGTCTTTCTGTTGCTACATTCGTCTTTCCCAGCTTATAGTACACACCAGAAGAAATCAGATGATATGCTGAACCAGCTATTGGTATTAATTCAATGACTTTGGATACTTTGTTCTCGACCGACTGGAACGAGCTAAGGACCTGAAGTACTGTTTCCTGGTAATTTAAACTGTTGAGCTCATCAGTTAAATGTTGTAGACTTTGTTTTCGTTGAATGACAGCATAATCAAAATCTTCTTCTTCTTCTTCGTCCCAAGGAAAATTGACCGGAATAATCGGATAATCTTCACCAAAATTCTTCTTTAACGTTTCTGCGTTCTTTTCGACCCATTTCTGATTACTATTAGTGATAATGATAATGAAATTTTTCTCACTTCCCTCAAAGATCTCTTTAAATAAATTGAACATGTTACGATCTTCTTCGGTAAATCTGCCTTTCATTTTAACGTAAGCTATGTAGTTGAGTGGTTCCTCACATATAGTAAAATAATTTCTAATATCTTTGATAGCATCCTTATGCGGAATTCTTCCAAAAACTGTCTCACCCACTCCAATCGTATCGAACACCTTAAAATCATCATTAGAACTAAAATTAATAGTGACAGTCGCACCAACAGCACCATCATTAATTTCAAACTTATTGCCTTTTTGATAAATATCACCTTGAATCAACATGTTGGCAATAGATGATTTTCCTTGCCCTGTGAGTCCAAACAAAACTATATTAATTGGTTTACTAATTGGTTTATTCATTTCGATTTATAATAAAGACCAAATGATTTCAGGATGGTAGAAAATCTGTCTAAATTAATTTATTGTGATGTATAAATTGTTTGAACGAGAAAGAAATTGCAGTTTTTACTTTTTCAAATAGCGGAACAAATCACCATTTTAGAGAGAGAACACGTATAAATACTATATATTCTGTTATTGTTGACCGATATATACTTTTTATTCGACTAATATAGTAAAGTCAAGTCTCCATTCTGTGATATTAGGTCTTAGAGTTTTTTTTTCTTTTTTTTGGTTATTTTTGTATTACCCAAATTTAGCCAATAATAGTTGTTTTCAAAAACGGACCACCTAAGTCGAAAAACATAATCAGTCAGCCCCATTTAACATTCTTAATGCTTACTTAATACAGGTAGTTTAACATTTTATAGATAAATTCTCTTAGATTTCCAAAGCTTAAACGAATTTTCGTAATTTTGTTTTAACAAAGTTAGCTTCATCATCCAAAATTAGATTCCATATCTGGGGAATCACAGTAAAATTGTCTAAGATTCCATAATATATTTATATCAAACAATTTTATTAAATTCACGGTCATTTTTCTGATAAAGAAAATATTTTTATTTTTTTTGTTAATGAATGCTTCTAGAAAGTTGTTTACCAATATATAATGAGCGTTAAAAGTAAAAATGACTCGCTTGAATATTTTCCCTCGATCTCGTTTATCAGAATTTTTAATATTTTTTTTTTTTTTAAAAAAAAGGGACAATTCCTTTAGAAATTCGCTATTTTGATTTTTAAGTATTAATTTCATAAATTTCTCTCTTAGAAACTCTATCAGTAAATCGTCTATTTCTTAAAAAATATAGAAGAAATTAGACGACCAACCACTGGAATCGCCTGGACCGAGTCAAGAACCTCTAGTTCAATACCCTCATATTCTAAATTAAAAAGCTCATCAATTAAATGTAACAGACTTTGTATTCTTTTCTTTCGCTTAATTACACTTTCGTAAAAATTTTCATCTTCACTCCACGGAAAATCGACCGGAATAATCGGATGATCTCCAAGATTCTCCTTTATTGTTTTTGAGTATTTCTTGACCCACTCCGGACCACTATTTGTAATGATGATGATGAAATTTTTCTCTCCCCCCTCAAAGATCTCTTTAAATATTTTGAACATTTTACGATCTTCTTCCGTAAATCTACCTTTTTTTTTAACGAAAGCTATATAGTTGAGTGGCATCTTACATTCTGAAAAATAATTTCTTATCCTTTTGACAGCCTCCTTATGCGGAACACTTCCGCAATTTGTTTCACCTACTCCAATCGTATCGTGCACTATAAATGCATCATTAGCATTACATTTTATTTGAGCACTTGCACCGATAGCGTCGTCATTAACCACGAATTTATTTTCTTTATGACGAATGTCACCTTGTATCAGCATGTTAGCAATTGAGGATTTTCCTTGCCCGGTGAGTCCAAAAAGAACCACACTAATTTGTTCACTCATTTCGATTTATAAATTATGACGGAAAACAAAAAAAAAATGTTTCAAGACGATAGGCGTTGGTTACGAATTGATCTAATTTTTTTGAAATGGCCCATTTAAATACTATATAATTTTGCTATTGTTGCTCAATATATACTTATTGTTAGACTGATATAGTTACTCTCGCACAAAATCCACAAGAAACTACAAAAAGAACATACAGTACATAACTTTCTTGACGTTCTAAGTTAACTTGCAGAGCGAGTCAAATAGCTAAATAGCTAATAGTTGTTAATTTCAAGTTTGAAGATGTAGTGAAAATTTTCATTTAAAATTTCGTTAGAGATGTGACATATTTTAATTTAATTACATATACTTTAATAAATTTCAAATATGTATGTATGAAAAAAAACCTCAATATGTTTTAATAGATTTCTTACTAATAATATTATTCATGCTCATTTGAGATTGGAGATCGATCATAAGGATATTGAATAACATAATCGGGCTAAATAAATTAACTAAAATAAATATATCTAGTATCTTTTTATAGAGTTGATGGCAGGTTGATAAAATAATAGGTAGGCGTTTTCTTTTCTTTTCTTTTTTTAGCTCTTTTTTAGTTAGATTGCTTTACTCCTTGGGGACTTTTTTTTTCCTCTCTTCCGGATCGTTAAAAAACTGATCTACGTCATATTCCATTTGAATGTTGCTATAATAAATAAAAAAAATAGTTTATTTAAATTACCCAAATAACTAACGCTACCTATAAGATCAAATTTGCGGTTCTCAGAAGAAACTAACCAAATTTGATTTACCCAACTATCTGAAATTCATTGAATCTTATTTAGTTCTTGTAAAAAACAAAAACTGGAAGAGAATCTTTACTTAGATTCCCGAAGCTTCAGATCATCCTGAAGAACAACAAAACAAGGTTTCAGATTAATTAGATGAATTAAAGATTACACGACAGGTCAATAGAAATGAGAAAATTTTTTTTATTGGGCCACTTGACTAATATCAAAGATAGATTAATATCAAAATGCGGAAATGCTAGTATTAAAAACCAAGAATATCTCGAATATATAAAATTGGCTTTTGAACCGAGCTTTTGACTATCAATTATATGTTGTTTACAGTTAATTATATGGATACTTTTGATGATGAATTCCGGAAAATATTTTTCATGGAGAGTATAATGATTGATACAGAAAGTGGTGAATGAATGGTAAATAGCAGACGTCATTTATTAAACTTTAAAATGCGCTTTCTATTTTTTTCGTTGCGTGAAAATTTTTTGCTTTTAACGCGCGATTGTTTTCAATGTAAATTTTTCGAAATAAACATGTCATCTATACAAGTGAAGCGCAGATCTACGTGTAGTTTAAATATATATATATATAAATTTAAATTTCATATTATGAATTAATTAAAAAGTTGCTCCATCAAACTTGTGTAACAAGTTAATAGCAAAATGGAGTAGTAACCATTCCGAACATCATTACTTTGTTTTTAGCTCAATCTCTAACTAGAAACTTCATCAGATTTCTTACAAAAAACAGAAGAAATAGGTTGACCAATCACTGGGATCGCCTGAATCGAGTCAAGGACCTCTAATTTAATACCCACGTAATTTAAACTACAAAGCTTATCAATTAAATGTAACAGACTTTTTGTTCTTTTATATCGTTTAAAGGCAGCATAATCATCATCATCATCATAATCTTCACTCCAAGGAAAATCGACCGGAATAATCGGATGATCTCCAAGATTCTCCTTTATTTTTTCTGTGTAATCCTCGACCCACTTCGGACCACTATTAGTAATGATGATGATGAAATTTGTTTCTCCCCCTTCAAAGATCTCTTTAAATATTTTGAACATTTTACGATCTTCTTCGGTAAATCTACCTTTTTTTTTAACGAAAGCTATATAATTGAGTGGCATCTTACATTTTGAAAAGTAATTTCTTATCTCTCTGACAGCCTTCCTATGCGGAACACTTCCGTAACTGGTTTCACCTACCCCAATCGTATCGTACACTATAAATTCTTCGTTAGAACTAAAATTTACCGTGATAGTCGCACCAACAGCACTATCATTAATTTCGAACACATTGCCTTTTTGAAAAATATCACCTTGAATCAACATGTTGGCAATAGATGACTTCCCTTGCCCTGTTAGTCCAAAAAGAACCATACTAATTCGCTTACTCATATTTTCAGGATGGTAGAAATCGAACTTATCAGAAAGTCTAATGTAGGACACAAGTTTTTGTAGAGTCGCGTTAGTTCCGAAGTTAAGGAACGGTTTAGAAATGTTTCCGAAATGTTGAATCAATGCCAGAAAATTAAAGTTACTCAAAGAGGATAGAGATTTAAAACGAGCCTTTAAATACTATATATTTTGTCAATGTCATTGTTGGCTGATATAAACATTTTATTCGTCCGATATAGTTACTCCCAATTACACATATTTTGATTAGCTGAAAACGATCAACGCCACAGTGATCGACATAACTTAAGAGTCGGAATCACATTAAAGTCAAAATTCCTTTTTAGAATGTAGAATTGTGATGTAAATCGCTTTGATTTTAACTTTTTAAACTATATAAATTCAAATCCTAAATTTTTGAAGCATTCCTATTCTTATCAAATATATTACTGACCCTGTAATGCTTCATAGTCTTATAAAAAGGTATTCACGAACAAAAATCAAAATTGCTTTTATAACATATTTTGTTCAATAAAATTATTATCTGATGTTAATTGCCAAGTTGTAAGTTCCCAACTTAATGGATTATAATCTCCAATTAACTTTGCATTTTTTTTGCACTTTTGAAAGACATAAATTATGAAGTATTCCATCTCGGCCACCAAAAATTTCAATAATTGCGTTCCCGATTATCTGAATTAACAAACCGGTATTGGAACATATTTCAAAGACTTTGGAGAGATGATCGGCTTTTAAGAGTAATTTTCATTTAGGTTTTAAATCAACCGGATTCGCGGTTTGACATTTAAAAATTTGCTAAGAATAAATCTGGATTCAATATACCCGATATAATCAGACCGGCCTTAATTTACCCCAATTTTCCAATCAGCTGATATGAAGATACTTGTTGTTAGGCAAAAAATTAAATCTGATCAGAGAATAAAAGATTGTTCCGATCAAAAATTTCAAATTAATATAAGGATTTTCTGTTCACTTAACATTGAGATTTAAAAATCGACCCGGAGTTTATTTTTTATTAATAAAAAAAGTTTATATATAGATATTATGCCATCTGATTGGTCAATCTTTAAGGGACAAGGCCGTGCAAAGTAAATTTTCAGATTCTGTGACCCGACGAATATTCAGGATTTTTTTTTTTATAGTAAAATTTTTTTCATACATAATAAAATCGACATATCAGATTTAGTAAAAGAAAACGATACACATTTAAAATTTTACATATGAAAAAGAAAATTTTATCTAAAAATTTTCTTTTCCCGGCCTAATAAATACGACAATCACATTTCATTTCAAAATCATCTTAACTCCGTCAAAATGCCTATTATACATGTAAAAATAAGTTACAATTCTAAAGTTTTGAAGGATTGGGAAGGTTTACCTGTTGAGTAAGAAACAAAAATAAAAGATTTTTTTGGAAATATATCGACTCTATATTTATCACCTGACTGATGGGAAGCAGATTTTGAAGTGAAGTTAGCTCATCAAAAACATTGTTGGAGAAAATATTTCAGCACAATGTATTGCTTGGAAGCTGCATGAAACTAATGAGTTGTAAGAAAGGAATTATACAAAACGATAATACAATAAAGCTTTAATCTACCAATAAAATTACACTTTATGAGTCACATGATATACTTTTTATATATAAACTTTTTTTTGAAAAAGTGACACATGAACCGAAAAATCGAAGTTGCGTGGCCTAATCGTATTTTTTAAATTTATATGAATCGTAACCTAACATATTGGATAGAAGTTCAAAATTTTTTTTTTAAAATTTGATTATATGAATTCATTCTTGAAGTTTACTATATTATGAATAATCCAAAGTTGCTTAATTCAATTGTAAAAAGCAATTTTTATGGTTCAAATTCCAAATTGTCAAAAATAGGTAGATGCATTAAGTCACGCGCTCACAAAGCTCGTTTCTAAAAATCGAAGTGAATCACTACGTTACATTGCTTTGAACGTTTTCGGTGTATGAACTTTTTACATAATTTGATTTTTTTTTCCCTTTTCCGGAGCTTGGGGAAAAAAATGAAAAATAGTACGAAGATATTTTAAATAAATTACCGATCAATTAATTGATTTTTTTGTTTGTAAATTAACAATTCAGGAAGTTACTTTCCAAAATGATCTTTTCTATTAAGAATAAAAGTGCGCCATTAATGCCTTTCTTGATGAAATTTGTTCACTTAAATGATTACATAATATAGCCGATTTTTTAATATATATTACTGTACCCGATTCAAACAAGTTTGTTGAATTCTACATGATTACCTAACCGATTGTCTTGCGAAAAAAAAAAAATTTTTTTCATTCTTTAATACCTAGTGAAAATTTACAAAAATTTAATACAAACATGTTCAAGATTGTTATAAATGTTTATGCAATAATTCTATTGTCATTCTGCGTAACGGAAGGTTTGTCGATTCTGAAGCCAACGGGTAACATGATTCCAACTTTTAATTTAAAGGACTGTGGTTTTAAGAGTGAAATTAAATTTACGAGTTTTGATGTTTATTACTCGGATTGGGAAAATTCTATCAATTTCTATGTTCAAGGAGTAAACTCCATTAATATTAATCAAACCAAACCTATACAATTCAATTCCAAGCTTCATAACAATATTACGTCGAGAAAATCTGATATTGACCGATCATGTTTAAAAAGTAAACTAAACTCCAACTTCGGCTCGAGGTGCCAAATTGAAGAAGATGAATCAACTGTTACGATCTTAACCGAACTAACTGGAACTTTAGATAGTTTGTATTATTTTCCATTTCATTATCCGTTGACAAAGATTTCAGAGATTAACAATTATTCAAATGCGAACGAACAAGTGTCGAGCAGGTAGAGTTATCCGTAAAGATGGGAGGTGATGAAATAGGTTGTGTAACTGCCTCTCTTAAAGTAATGATAATGAAAATAATGAAAATAATGAAAGCGACATTGAATTTGATAAAGAGGATGGTAAAAAAAAAAAAAAACCGAAAGACCCAGAATCCCCGAAACCCCCCTCAAACCATTCGACATCCTCGGAAAAGAAAGGCGGGTCTAAAGGTAGTTTAAAATATGTCTTTGGAGGGATTGGTGCAGCTGCTATTTTATCCATGGTAGCATTAAGAAAAAAAATCAAGAAATTTTTGGGCTGTCATAAAGAAAATACAGAAAATAATAGAATATTAGTTTAACACGCATGAAGTAAAACAATTTATCCAACAATTATGGGCTGTACTTATAACTAACCGGGTAGTAAACTTTATGTATATATTTATTTATGCGTTCCTAGTCAAATTATCTTTAACTATTCATTAAACAATTTATTAACATATTTGAAAATTTGACAATACTGAATTTTCTTAATGGGAATTATTCTTTATTAATTATCAATATTTTTCTTCTAGCTTTGCATTATTGTCTTCTTGTTCCAAATTATTATGCGTTCTATTAATTAAAATTATACCATAGATACAAGAAAAGTTAGTTACGCTATTTCTAATATTTATAATTGAAATTCTTTTAATAAATTAACTTAATACTACTAATAAATCTGTGAAATGTTATATTAATAATTTCCTGAAAATATAATCCCTCGCCATTTAATTTTCGCATTGTCATCATAAGAATGATTGTAATAATAATAGAAATTCTTTTCAACATTTTCAGATCGAATGTAACATCTGGTCGAGTAACGCATAATTCACAAAAATTCTTCAAATAAGAACATAATTAAGTAACATATTTTTGGTCTATATAAAAAAGCGTTCATATTTGAAATAGATTTATTGGACAAATTCTATTGATATAGGCTTTTTAATTCTTTACTAATACTTATTGCTATCGTGTAACTTGTTTTGGCTAATTTTTGTTTGTGCACGATACGATAATCTTTTACTAAATAAGAAAAAAAACGAAATTTAATAATTAATTTTTTTTATTTTTGTTTATACAAAGGGGTAAATTAATGTTATGAAAACAAAACAATTCCGCTATGTTTAAATATGGTAAATAATTTCCTATTTTGGATATTTAGTTAGGATTCCGAGAATCTATTTAAAGAATTAAAAGATAATAAAATATCCTTTGCGGATACATTAATCTCTCAAAGTAGAAAAAAAAGATGGATTCTTGTCAAATTGTTAAAAGGAGAGGTCTTAAGGAAAAAAAAAAAATGTAAAATCAGGAAATGTATTTGTAAACCGTTATTAGAGAATTTATTTTATTTCGTGTCATATCAAGTTAAATAATTAGAAATCCCGACAAATTATTTAACAAATACAAATTATTCAATGTTCGATTTATGTACTAATTTTTATCCAAATAACTTTAAATAATATTGCTTTTTTTTTAAAAAAAAAAAAAAAAATTGATATTACAGAAAATATTTCATAATTCCAATATTCATTTTGGTGAAATTCTTTGCAAACTCACAAATGGATTAATGAAATATCAAAATCGAGTTTTTTTATGGTAAATATGTTACACATAAACTCGAAAACTCATTTATAATAGGTTAGGCTTAACGTTTATTACCAAAAGTTAGTATCACCTCAACATACCATATACTTTAAATAACAAGTTTAAGACTAAATTATTTATGGGTAAATCATTAATTAATAAAATATATATGAGGAAAGTAATTCCGAACGATCATTCTAAATGAAGTAAGATAGCCGAGGGCTGAAATTGAACAATTTTATTTTATTTTATTTTTTTTTTTTTTTAGAAAAATACCTCTACCTAACATTTTATCAACAAAATTTCTAAATTAAGGGTAATAAATGGCTTTAATAAATATCCAAGTAAAAGACATGAAAGACTTTGAAATTAAACTTACTCGAGAATTACAAGCCAAAGAACAAATTATTAAAAATTTAGAGCAAAGTAAAAAGATAGCCGACGAAGATAATCAATTGATACTCTCCTTTTTATGGAATGAAATAGGTAGTGATAGTTTAGATAATTTAAGAGAATTATTAGCGGGAAAGAAACTAACTGAGATAAGGCAAGACATTCAAAACTTAAATTTTGATTTAATGACTAAAAGGGAGGAATTGTCAAAGTTAAGGTCTCAATTCAAAAGTTTAGAAGAAAAGAATAAAGAACAAGAAGAAGAAGTCAAAGCTAAGCAAGAAATTATTAATGTTTTAGAGGAAGCGATAAGAGAGCGAGAAAAAGAAACCAGAGCCAAGCAAGAAATTATTAATGTTTTGGAAGAAAAGATTAGAGAGCGAGAAGAAGCAGCTAAAGCTACGCAAGAAACGATAATGTACCTGAATGAAAAGATTAAAGTACAAGAAGAAGAAACCAAGACTAAGCATGAAATGATTCATGATTTAGAAGAAACAATTAGAAAACGAGAAAAAGAAACCAACGCCAAGCAAGAAATGATTGATGTTTTAGAAGAAAAGATTAGAGGGCGAGATGGAGCAACCATAACTACGCAAGAAACTATGATTGGCTTAGAAGTAAAGATTAAAGAACAAGAAAAAGAAACCAAAGCCAAATATGAAATGAGTCATGATTTAGAAGAAACGATTAGAAAACGTGAAGAAGAAATCAACGCCAAACAAGAAACCATGAATGTTTTAGAAGAAAAGATTAAAGAACGAGAAGTCGAAGCCAAAGTCAAACAAGAAACCATTAATGTTTTAGAAGAAAAAGTTAAAGAGCGAGAGGAAGAAACTAAAGCCAAGCAAGTAATCATCAATGATTTAGAAACCAAGATTAGAAAGCAAGAAGAATCACCAAACGCTAAGCAAGAGCAAGAAAAAATCAAAGAATTAGAAGAAAGGATCAGAAATCTAGAATTAGACATTAATTATGATTATACTATTAATAGTTTGATTATTACAAAGATAAATAAGGATGACATCTTAAACACCTTAGGAGGATTACAAAGATATCGAAAATTAACAACACTCTATTGCGACAATACAGGAATCACAAGTTTACCAAGTTTACCAAATTGGTTAACTTATCTCGAATGTACTGATACTCAAATGACTCGCTTGCCAACTTTACCTAACTCCTTAAAAACTCTTGATTGCTCGCATACTCCAATCATCAGCTTACCAACTTTACCAACCTCTTTAACGAAACTCAATTGCTATAAAACCAAGTTAACTAGTTTACCTACTTTACCCAATTCCTTAACTTATCTCCACTGCAATAATACTGAGATAGATAGTTTACCAAATTTACCTATCTCTTTAAAAGAAATATATTGCTTTTGTACTCGTATAATTAGTTTGTCAACTTTACCTAACTCGTTAACAACCCTTCGCTGCTCTGATACTCAATTAACTAGTTTACCAATTTTACCTGATACCCTAATTCATCTTGACTGTTCCAATACTCCAATAGTTAGTTTACCTACTTTACCCAACTCTTTGACTTATCTTATCTGTTTTAATACTCGAATAACTAATTTACCAACCTTGCCCAACTCGTTAACAACACTTCGCTGCTATAAAACTCAAATTATTAGCATACCAACTTTACATAACTCTTTAATTTATCTTGATTGTTCTGATTCTCAAATATCTAGTTTACCACATTTACCTGATTCCTTAGCAACTCTCCACTGTGAGAATACTCGGATCACTAGCTTACCAAATTTACCTAAATCATTAATATTTTTTTACCCTAAATCTCTTTCTGTTCCAATGATCTAATAACTGAATGGGTCTCTAACTCTTTGATATAGCCTTTCTATTATATAATAATATATTTTTTTTAAAATGTCCAAATTTTATTATTAATTTGATTTATAAATATTATTATAATAAAAAATATATATATTTATTATTGACAATAGTTAAATTCCTTTTAAAGACTGAATTTGGAGTGAGAAAAGAAAATATACCTCCAAATTAATACGGAAGGTTAAAAACCGTCATGAAAAAAGGTTTTTTTCGAAAGTGTTTTGAGAAAAATGAGAATTTGTAAAAATATATTAAGGAATCTGAATTATTAATATTAATTTATTTTCTTACAAAAAAAAAAAGAACGTGTTTGCACGTAGGTATAATAGACTTCCGTCCTATGTTTATCATCAAACTGGTAGATTCGTTTATTTATTAAATTAGTAATAAAATACTGC